GGATACCTGATCAGGAAGTACATAATTTCAACCATGGTCAATACCGTTCACGCCATCCCTCACCACCTGGCTCAATGCATGACTCAAATAACATAGCAAAATTAGTTCGAGAGGAAGTGCGGCGACAAACACAATACCTCACCCAAACAAACCGCCCATCAAGTTCTGGTGTTCCTTCTAACCGTAACCGTCGCACAACTGATGGCTTACCCATATGCAACAAATGCAATAAAGTTGGCCATATTGCTCGTAACTGTAGAGCTGGAGGAATACAACATCAGCCCCCACAAGTTTCTCAGCATAATTTTCACATCCGTCCTGGCATGCAACGTCAATTTTCATCTCAGTTTAATTCATATACTCGTCCTGGCATGCAACACCAGCCTGTACAGAGACCCCAATTTAATTCAAACATACATCCTGATGCTCCCACATTCAATCCACAACAAGGGCGAACTGCCAACAACCCATTTAATGCGGAATCGGGAAACTAATGGCTGCTTCTTTATACCGGGACGATAGGGAAGCAATGATTTTTGAAGTATTTGAGAAATCCAAATGTCTCGAAATGTTTAATGAAAATGTTGTTGAAAATTTACCTGACAAATTTAATGATGTATCAGATATGCTAATTAATATAGAAGAAAAAGGGCAGCATGATTTTGACAGCCCCCCATGTCCTGTTGAAACAAGTGTGAATATACATCCTGATCTTGTAGATATTGATTTTAGTTTACCTGCAGGCAAGTCACTTAGCGTATTATGTGAGGAGAATAACTCCTCTGGCCTACCGAAGATAAATTGTGATACATTGACAACAAATGTAAACCCAGTGAGTCAAATGTGTAAAGATAGTTTTGAGGTGACCGCGTCACCATGTGTAAATGTACCACAGCAAGTCAAATTTAGTGCTAGAGAACAATTTCTCTTACCTCATACAATAGATGTACCAGTCTGTAATGATCTAGTAGACCTGTCATATGAAGTTAATAAAGAAACAAGTAAGGAAGCAAGTGTAGTTGTTTTGAATTCTGACCTGGAAGGCCTGTCATATCCTGTTCCAAAAACCTCTGTGCATGCTGTTAATTCTATTTCATTTGAGTTTCGCAATAATTGTCCATTCTTGCAAGGTCAAGTAAGTGGTATACCTACGTCTATTTTATGCGACACTGGAGCATCTGTCACCACGATTAGTGAGAAGTTATTTAACAAATTCCCTAATTGCAAGAAAATGCCTAGCAGTAAAACATTTCAACAAACTATTAGAACTGTCAGTGGTGAAAACATGCCCATCAATGGTGTGGCATTAGTTCCCTTTCAAATTGGTGAGTATAACTATACATTTTATGCATACATCATAGAAAATTTAACTTATGATGCAATTCTTGGGTCTGACTTCCTAGGTCATTATCAAGGTGTTATCGATTTTGACAACCAGTCTTTTGAATTATTGCCACCAAGTGAAAATCCACCACCTACGGATACACCACCACCTTGTCCGATACCTAGGCTAGTTAAGTCGGAAGGGTATGACCCTGAGCATAATTCATGGGTAGACGAGACTGACATTATTCACCTTGAACAAAACAACAACTAACGTACGATACCATCTCAAGGCTTTTAACCTCTGGGACGACTTGTTTTGTGATCCGGATGTTCAGGATCTCATGCTTGTGTTGTCCAGACTTCGGCTGTGAACTATTTAGCCTCGCATGTACCCCTCGTTCGGACACGTTATAATTGTGTGTGAAGTATAATTAGATGTCGCACTATGTGGGAAGTTGAAAGTGAATGATGAGAAAAAGAATGTAAAATAGGCTTTGTTATTGTTTTGTTATTGTTTTGTTATTGTTTTGTTATGTTTTGTTATTTTGTTATTGTCCCTTCCATGACACAACTATGTTCTTTTTCCTTAATATTTGGTTCAAGTCAAATTTCACATGCCTTTGCAATTAGGTGAGTATTTATCTGTAATCAATATACGGATACAGTTTCAGTTAAAGTTCTCAACAGTGGAATACAACGATGGTTGCACATGCAAAGAAATGTACAATTACTGAAAGACTGCTAACCTTGAAATCAAGATCATATTGAACTTATTTAATTGTAATAACTTTGAAAACCGGGAGGTTTTCACTTAAAGGAGAGAGATATGTTATACACGGAAATAATACACTAGAATTATATGCACGAGTGTTGCATCACATGATCCATGAAGCATACAATGAACCATTGATGAACAATGCACAATAGCATAATTTAATTAACAGGAAACAATGTGTATGACACTGTCAGGAAACAGTGAGTGTATTAGAGTCTTAGTGTCAGAGTAGAGCTGACTGTAGTCAGAGCGTTTGTATCTATCAAAAGCTACGCACAGACGCACACAATATTCAAAATATATATATGTGATAAAAGAAACCGTGTTGGTGTCAGTGATATTGATATTCTTGTTGTTGAGCTATTACCCCTACGGCCCCGACGATCCTGCTGTATTAGTCTGAATATAACCAAGAAAAGGGGTCGTATAACACTAAGGTCGGCTAATCCTCCAACACAAAGGGCCAAAATTGGAAATGTTTTATTGAACAAAAATTTTTATTTTCAAAATAAAAGTAATATCAGTGATGTACATGAAAAATATGCAAATTATTGCAAATAATATTGCTATTCTGTGAGAAAATAAATTCACTACTGAACATGTAATGAACTATTTTGTACTATATTGTACTATACTATAGAACTTCTATATACTTTAAAAAGATCTTAAAAAGACTTTAAAAAGATCACGCTCAGCAGGACAACCCTAGCCTGCAGGAGGGTTGTATACATTCCACATAATTCCCCCACATATCAGGGTTGGGGATCCACACGAGGAAAATACCTCATCTAGTCAGGCATAACCAAGAGTCAAAAGAGGGAAAATGCCGCACCTTTCCCCAAGGTTGGGGGGGGGGAGTTTGGGGTTACAATTGATAGGTACGTTCAGGGTCTGAATTTTGCAGTATCCCGATATCCACAGGATACTAAAATTTGGTTTTGGATACCAAACTGTGAATGACTTATATCCCAACTGAATACTAAGAAAATTTCAAACATTAGGAAAATGTTAAGCACCTCTGACAGTCTCCTGATAGCTTTTGAATTTACTATGAGTTTGCCACCCAAGCCTTTCCTAATATAATGTGCATTTTTGTGGATTAATGAATTGTCTAGTTGTTGACAACTTGACTGAACATTGAATCTCCTATTGTTACTGTAATTTGTAACAGCGAGAGTTATTGGATGGGACAGGGTATAATACTTATGGTAACCAGTATCCAGAAGTGGGATACTGCATTCTCAGGGAGGATACTAAACTTTGAATTCTGGTATCCCAGTTGGATACTGAGAAAATATTTAAATTTCAAACCCTGACGTTACTGTAAATGCTATATATATATAAACTTACCATAGGGAATTAGGTGATCTCACGTTATAGGTTCGCCATGTTATAAACTGTGTTTGGCGAACAGTACAATCAAGAGGATTTACTCACATTCAAGCCCCTTGATTAATTGATTGGAGAGCCCCTCGCACCAAACTCAATCATATTTGAGTTGTTTGCAAAACATCCCTAACATGGTCATCAAGCCGTTCATTAATTAGTTAAGTTAGCATAATTTCCCTGCGTCGATAACAAACCAGGTTCGTACCTTCTTTTTCTATGTGTTCTCTCGGAAACACCTAAACATCGTGCAATATCAGCCCATTTAAAACCGAGATTACCGAGGCCGACCAACCTCTCCAGTATGTCGAACAAGGTGATTCATTTGTACGTTTTGCTGGTCTAGAGCATCCTGATCGGAGACATGTAGTGCCGTAATGCCCAGCAAAATCTTTAGGAATGATATCACTTGCAATTGTAGTCTTCGTCTTTCCGGATAAGCCTGAATTATTCGTGCTAAAAGCAAACTAAATGACTTTTCCAACGTTTCTAATTTGGTGATCCAATACTGCGAAGACTCAACATCACAGATGCGTAACTGTTACCTTGCTTGTACCAATGTTGCCTCCGCAGTTTCGAAGGAATTTTGTGTATCAGGCAACCAGCGAACCGCCATCTTGGTTGTATATTTCCAGTGTATATTTCCCAGCTTTCCCGCGTAAACCTCCCGTATGTATAAATTAACCGTCGCATAAATTAGAAAAAATATGTAAACAGCCGCATAAATTAACGAGATTTTTTCGAATGTTTTGTGTGCGACACTTCGAATATTGTGTGTGTGTATTGTGGAATTTGCCAGTTCGAAATTCATGCGAGTGTTCGAATTTTTATTGTTAGTGTTGGAATATTCATTGCGAGTGTTCGAATGTTTAGTGTGAGTGTTCAAATGTTTAGTGTGAGTGTTCAAATATTTAGTGCGTGTATTGGTTTATTGTTTATGTGCGTGTATTGGTTTATTGTGTATTGGTTTATTGTCCGCTTCGGACGCCCATAGTTAACCACTATTTAATGACAAAACGGACAGTTAAATCGTAATTCAAAAACTCATTAATAACTCATGAGGAAAACACAAAGAGAAATCATAAGCGTGGCGTGTCTTTATATGTGATAAAACACGCTTCAAATTTCAACTTGTATTTTCTCAGCTAATACAAAGTTATTTTGGAAAATTATTTCGCCAATGCCGTGATCTAACTGAGACGTTTTTTAAGCTGTTTAATAAACTCGTAGTTCGTGTTTTATCACATAGAAAACACTCCGCTACGCGTCGTGTTTTATATGTGATAAAACACTCCTACTCGTTTATTAAACAGTACTTAAGAGTTTTAGACAAGCGACCCAGCCTATATTACAAGAACATATAACTAGTTAAAAACTTTGTATCACTCACGATCTGGAGTCTCCAATGCACACATGCGCAGAACGGACTGTACCACATCTTTAACTACATGTAGACGGTCCTGAGGTACAGTAGGTAGGTAAAACTTTATTTAAAAGATCACACGCTGCCCGGTCAACTATACGCTGATTTCCACGAGGGGCGTGTGGATTACATGATATTATATGACAAAATATTACGGCATATTGTAAACACTGGACTGGACTTTGGACTATGGACTTTGGACTTTGGACTTTGGACTTTGGACTTTCGATTTTGAATTTTTTTTTTTTTAGATTTTCGTATAATTATATTAAAATCTAAACAGAGAACGAAAATTTGCTGCTGAAAAGCGTGCTACACTGCATGCACATGCATGATATAATATACAAGGTACTAAAAATACTCAGTATCAGTTATATAGGTATACCAGCAATACAATTTCATACGGATATAGCCTGTAGGATAGCAGGATTATCCAATATTTTGGGATTTAATATTTAAATTTTATATAATATTTGTATTTATAGTATGCATAGTACAGTTTATACTGCAGAACTTCTTCTTTATTATATAGATAATAGATTAATTGTCAGAAACAAATGTGACAAAAGTGTCTCGGCAAATACAAAATATTAACTATACAAGTGATTATTATTGCGCCTATTGAGTATTGAGTATTGAGTATTGTGACTGTTCATCGTTGCATAATAGTTTATACTAGTACTGAATTGTGTAATTGTTTACTCCGTTACACAGTAACGTTTTGTTAATGTTACTTATTTTTGAAAGACATTCTAGTTAGCTATCCTTATCACTAAGACTAAGTGCTTCAGTTATTATTAATAAGTGTTAGTAGATGGACAGGAATATTCGAACGGAAATTTACACACTTTTTAAGACCTACTCAGTTGTGTGTAAGAAGGCAAAAATCTATGTCTATGTGCTTCAGGTAGTCTAGCAACTATTTGCCACGTTTACTGTAATACTAGGCCTACCACTTGCAAGTGATGAACCAGGCGGGAATCGTAATCGTAGTATAAAGATTAATGCTCAGCCGCATAACGTACGCAAAAGAGCCATATATATAGACAATAATATAGACATAAATATATACATAAAATAACCGGCACTATACAGGGTGTATCAATAAAAACGCAACCTTGGAATTTCCTAAGAAATCACTTTGCAATTCTTAAGCATAAAAGATTTTAGGCCCCTGGGAATTGAAATCGAATTGCTAAATCATATTACTGTTGTTGTGCATTAAATAAATGCATAAATTCTGCTTTATGCACTCGTGTGTGCAGTAATTTTGACAGTTATGCTATTTTAAATTCCCAGGCGCCTTAAATCTTTTGTCTTTATAACAATGTCGATTTCTTGGGAAATTCCGAGGTTGCGCTTTTTTTGATACACCCTCTATAGTAGATTATCATAAAGTAATCAGTACTACCAATTAATAATGCATGTATTACATACATTCGTATTTTATAAAGTATGATGACTATGAGAGTTTTCGTGTTCAGTATGGCTGAAACATTTATGAAAAGCTAAAACTGACACAGACAAAATACATTGTAAACACAGCCTATTTAGGCAGGCGCTAAACCGGTGTAAACTATTATGCAAAGATGAACAATACCGTCATTAGTACTATTAATAGTATTTTTGCGCAAGTGAATAAATATATAACAAATCCTACAAGTTGTCAAGTTGATTGGTCAAATTTGACAAATTCCCTAGCCTCCTTTGCAGACATCAGAAAGAACGTACACAACTGGCGGCTGCGAGGCAGACCAGAAATTCCCCGATAATCACGGCCTCGCCTTGGCGAATAATTGTTCAAAGCCAAAGGCGCAATAATAATCGCGTGTAGTTTATACTACGTGCTAGTTTCTCAATATTTTGTATTTGCCAAGCTACTTTTGTCACAATTGTTTCTATAAATCTATTATTATCTATACGATAAAGAAGAAGTTCTGTAGTATAAACTGTACTATACATACTATAAATACAAATATTATAATAAAATTTAAATATTAAATTAAAAATATTACTGAGATGATCCTGTTATCCCACAGGCTATATCTATGAAATTGCACTGGTATACCTATATAACTGATAGTATTTTTTACCTTGAATATTATATCATGCACAAATATAATTACACCTGTATATGAAAATCGTAAAAATATAATTTCAAAATCGAAAGTCCAAAGTCCATAGTCCAAAGTCCATAGTCCAAAGTCCAGTCCAGTGTTTACAATATGCCAAAATATTACACACACTATTAAACTACAAGTAACTACAAAACAATTATGTACAAAACTAATGACATAATTAACATTAGAAATTAAAAAGCGTCAATTGCATTTACGAATGTTGGTAATGTACTATCTGAATCACGCATATCTGCAGGTAATGAGTTCCACAATTTAGCTCCATCATAACAGAAGCTTTTCTTAAGGTTTTCAGTTCTTGGCAAAGGTAGTTGTACAGGTGTATGTACCACAGAATACCACGGTACCACAGAATACCAGTCTTATTTATTTCTAATATAAAATTTGAAGGAAATATGCGAAAGCTTTATTTTTGTGATTATATATTAGTTTTAGTCTTAACTGACAAATAAAAACAAAAAATGTATATTCT